ATATTGCCAACCACCACGATGTCTTTTATAGTACTTTTTCGTAACTTGTGCAGCGAAAGGTCGTAAGCTTTTCATAAAAGCGCCAGAATAGGTTATGCGATTAATGGACATAATTATAAATTAAAACAAATAAAAAACAGATAACTTGTTGAAATAATCAGATGGCAGAAACAGGTAGCCCAGATATTCAAGCAGGCCGCCGTAATATTCACAATAGAACGAAACAACCGTCCAGTGCTTCCAGGCATTCAATGGTGGTCTAGCTTCAATTGACTCATGATCTCAACTACTGACATTATTAAATTGTTTTATACTAATTAAATTGTCACTATTGGAAACATTCTAAGTTTCATTTATACTATACAAATACATTTTTTTTGGTTGCTTGTAGATATGTTGAAAACTATCCAACACCAATTTGTCCAATGTGTAATATTCATTTAACACGTGATAATATTCAACGTTTAATTGACTCCAATGATATTTTAAATCAATGGATTAATTCATTGAATGTTGATATATGTGAGGATGAATCAAATGAGAAGAAGAATATAGAATTGAATAAATAAACAATCTTAATGTGATAAAGTATTGAGAATGTTTATTTCAATGATTTAAAATAATAGTTTGTTTTTTCTTTTCATTATAATAACAGAAATAAATTTTAAAAAATGATTATCATTTACTGTTCTAAAATGGAAAAAATTATTTCTTTATAACAGAAATTTCGTGTTTGTGAGCATCTACCAGTGTGGTTAAGCAACTTACTTACTTGCAGTTGTTACTCCCAATGAAGCATAGGCAGCCGACCAGCATTCTCCAACTCACTTTCTAGTTTTATCGAATTGTTGTTCATTCTTCTCAGGTCTATCTCCATTTCTCGGCAAAATGTGTTCTTTGGTCTTCCTTTTCTTTTTTGGCCTTGAGGATTCCAAGTGAGAGATTGCTTTGTGTTGCAGTTAAGCGCTTTCCTCACTGTGTGTCCTATCCACTTCCAGCGCTTCTTCTTGATTTCTTACTCCACTGGAATCTGGTTTATTCTCTCCCATAGTAGGTTGATGTTGATAGTGTCTGACCAACGGAACCAAAGTATTTTGCGTAGACAGCAGTTAACAAACACTTGTATCTTCTGGATGATGGCCTTCATAGTTCTCCTATTCCCCCCCCATACAGTAGAACTGCCTTGACATTTGTGTTGAAAATCCTGACCTTGGTGTTTGTTGACAGTTGTTTTGAGTTGAATATATTCTTCAATTGTACATATTCTGTTCTTGCTTTGCCGATCTGCGCCTTCACTTCTGCATCAGATCCACCGTTTTCATTAATGATGCTACCCAGATGTGTAAAGGGTTTACATCCTCCGAAGCTTCTTCGTCAAATGTGATTCGATTGTTGCATGCAGTGTCGCATCGAAGAATCTTTCTTTTACCTTTGTGTATGTTGATACCGACTGCTACTGAGGCTGCTGCTACACTAGTTGTCTTCTCTTGCATTTGTTGTTTTATGTGCAATAGAATAACCAGATCAACTGTGAAGTCTAGATCGGTCAGATGTATCCTAGTTGTTCTCTGTATCACGTGCTTCCCCCCAGATGTTGACGTCTTCACCAGGAGAAAGAGAAAGTGTGAGAGTAAGCAACCCTGTCTGACACCGGTTTTTTCTTCAAAATAGTCTGTCAGCTGTCCTCCATACAAGATTTTGCAGTTCAATCCATCATAGGAATTCTGTATGATATCTTGTCGGGCACTGCGTAGTGTCGAAGAAGCCTCCATAGTGTTGTTCTGTCCACTGTATCAAATGCTTTCTCTTGGTCAATGAAATTGATGTAGAGTGGTAAATTCCATTTAATTGATTGTTCTACAATGATCCATAGTGTTACGATTTGGTCGGCACACGATCGTTTCTTACAGAATCCAGCTTGTTGGTCTCGAAGTTTGGCGTCTACGGAGTTTTTTATTCTGCGTATAAACACCCTATCGCAGACGTTTCCTTGTATTGAGAGAAGAATAATGCCTATGTAGTTCCCACACTCGCGGAAATCGCCGTTCTTACGCATTTTCGAAATTAACGTATAGTAAATCCCCAACCAAGTATAACTTGAAATAGCTAATTCGGTAATAAACTGTAGTGGCTGGGCTAGATAGGGAAGCAGGGCCAATCAGAACCATAGGTCGTTCTTACGTGCTTTACGCGTCTTTGGTTCGATCGATAATACACTGTTCTCTAAATCTTTCCGTCAAGGACACAACAATTGGCACGGGGTATAAATCGATCCAAGTTCAAGTCACAACATATATCTTAAAATAGCTAATTCGGTAGTAAAATGTAGTGAACGAGAACTCAAATATGGACAATCACATGTATTTGGATACAAAATTACAGTGCATCTTAGTGAAATCTAAGAACCATACAGTAAATACTTCATTTGCAAAGTATCAATCAATCGTCTCAGACTTCTTTCATTCCACGCCAAACATTCTCTGTTCCCGTTCTCATTTCTTTGATCTTCTTAACATTCTGACGCTAGGCATTTCGCTTTCGATTGATGATACATACTAATTAGATCTGTCGACAACAGTAGAACATATCAAAAACCATATTTCAAGTTACCATGTTCATTTTCAATAAACTAGATATGGAGATTTGGAATTATATCTGATATTTGTCTTGTTATGATTATATCGTGTATATATTTCTTTTTTTATTCAATGGACATCTATTTATAAAAAGAATAACAATGAGTGATTATTACTAGTCGAATCCGTGTAAAGAAAGAACACAACATTAGGATAGTTTAAAATTCCTTCAGAGTTTCGACTTTAAAAAAACCCTGATTAATTGTTCATATATAGATAAGTATAAATATACATGGTGATTTGTATTAGACGTCTGAAATAAACAGAAATTCTTTAAATGCGTAGAATAGTATTCAGAATTCGTGAGTAAAAACAAAACTTCAAAGTAGAAGTTATCTGTTTTCACGATTACATCGTTATTGGTAAGAGTCCAAACTATCCTATTTTTAATATCCAGGACTGGATATTAGTCAATCACTGTTTTTATTCGTGGGTCGTGAACGGGTTGCTTCCATATGGTCATGTTGTTGTAAGTTATTTAAAATAGATGATTTGCAGCTAACCTTGGAATCCAGGACATGCGTATCTTTCTATTTAGGACTCGTCAGTTGAATATATCGGAATACGGGATGCGTAATCGCAACCTATGGCTTCAAACATTCAACTCATAGTCTAATGAGTCACCGATTCAACGAGTCCATCAAACTGTTCAACAAGTATGATTTTTATACCATTATACATCAGCTTATACCAATTACATCAATGAATAACCAAAATTCAGTCATAAATATCAACAACGGAATAATCCAAGTGTTTACCAATAATGATAAAATTATCGTAAGCGCTAAGCAAGTTATAGACTATATCGAATAAATAGTTTTTTTAGATAATATCTTAACTGTTTGTCGATAAAGGTCCTTAGTTTGTACTCCAAAGCGAACTTTAAAACTGGGATCCTAGCGGACCCAACTGAAGAGTCCAAATAAACTGAAATACTTATCTAGAATTTCATTGCTAGTCACAATCTCTTTACTCCATTCAAATATTTCTGTACTGTTTAGAAATACAAATAAACGATAAATACAGTCATTGAGATATCACTAATTCTGTGCAGATAGATTGTTAAATAGATAACCTCAATGACTCTTGAATAAATGTAAAATTAAATTGATAAATATAAGCCCAATTTATAACATGCGAAGAATTAAAACAGATTATTGGCGCGCTATCACTAAACGAGTATAACAAAATATCTATGACAACAAAATATCTAACCAAATAATTTTCTTCAATAAAGAATACACAATTCATACTAAACATACTATGAACTTAATAAAGCAAACATTTCATTACATAAACGGAATATACCCACTATGACATTAAATAAGAAAGATAGATTAGTTCAGCGAAGAGTTCTCTTTCCGGCGAATTCATTTTCAAAGCTGTACAATCGCAAATATATATACTTATTTTTACAGGGTGATAATAATACTGATAATAAACTTATGTTATACATGGTGACAGTGAGGTTAAATAAACAAAGGTATTAGAAATTTTTCTTAAAACAAGGAAAGTTTGATAGTTAATGGCTTAGATATTCATCGGGTAAGGGTAGCTCAGCATGATAAAATAACATAAAATGTTGAGACAGAGATGAAATGTAATCGGAATGATCGCGGTTTATTTTTATTTCCACGATCATTCCGATTACATTTCATCTCTGTTTCAACATTTTATGTTATTTTATCATGCTGAGCTGAACTAATCTTTCTTTCTTATTTAATTTCAGTATATACCTAGTGAGGAACATAAATAGATTTACAAAAACTATTAAGTATCCCAACAATATTGTAAACATGATCTGACCTTGATATCGATGTATATAATAGCAATCAACCATATATCCTCAATTCATTTATGCATAACAAGACTATCTTCTTCGATAACATTATATTTGCTTCATGTAAGTTAATAAAACATTAGATAAACAAACAATATATTTACAGTTCAATCAACCCATCACTTGTTGAATACCAGTCCTAGATATAGAATAGAAATGTAGAATCCCTTACAGTAAAATCAGGAAAATATATCTATATACACATAGATAATAAGTCAACGAAATAACACGAATTACACTCTCAAAGAAATCCACATATGAATGACAGAACAAGATAAATCAGTTCACCTCATAAAAAAACATTAAATAAACGTTAAGTTATTAAAATACGCTAATTATCGATTCACCAGAATGCACTGCTCACATTCCATCACATGTTCATTAAATACGAATTTATGATCAGTTTTTACGAACAACTGAATTACAATAAATAAACGAATGAGTAAATATCAATGTACGACGTATAGAAATGAAGGATAAATTTATTCACATAACTCAATGAATTTCATTACAAACTAACGATAATGAGAACAGATTTGATCTGTTTGTTATTTGCAATTATTCTATACACATTGCTATGTCTAACAGGCAATGTTAGAAATCAATTGGTTCAAAGCCAAAACAGAACTAATACGTCAATAGAAATAGGAGCAGAAAGTTCAGGAGGAACAGATTCTGACTCCAAGAGAACGGAAACGAGAGAAACTAATAATAGACAGTCACAGGAAAACAGCAAAGATTCACATTCAAGTTCAAGAGGCGATTTCGGATTCCAATCTTCACAACGAAAATTCCAACTGAAATACGCAAATCGAAGAAAAAGTGATATTTATACTAGCGGTTACCAAACATTCCTCGGAAAACGTAGACGAGGCAGTAAATCACATGTGAAAACCACATTCAGAAAACGTTCTGGCTACGATCACAATGGTCAAAAGAAACGAAGTTCCACATTCGAAAGTTATGGTGAGGCAGACAGTTTCGATAGAAAGAAAATACGTGATGTGTTCGATGTGAATGGATATATTTCGGAGGGTCGGAAGCGTAGTAAACTGGGTGGATACATTCAAGAAAATCAACATGCGTTTATGTCAGGTGGACATAAGTCGCAAGCTTCTCGAAACAATAGGAAATCTAGTGAGGGTGGAAATCACTTTGTAAATGAAACTCATAATCATGGATCCCATTTTGACACTCAGCATCACAATAAAATTAGTGCAAACAGTAGCATAACACCACGTCGAAAATGAATTAAATAAATATCTTAAATTTACACTTCCACACGTTAATGAAGATGTTAGTGATGTTAGTGAAAAATTTAAAACGGACACCATAAGTAAACTTTAATGTATGTATTTTATTATTGTTAGTTGTATCTATCAAAATACTTATAAACAGTTCCATCAACAAGCCATCAATCGACATAACTGTATAACCAATAAAAATCATTCGGTATTAAGTTGAGCGAAGTATCCAGATTTTATGCCTCCTAAGTGCAAACTTTGATATATAACAGGCTAAGCAACACTGCCGAAATTTGATGCCCAATGAGGATCGTGAATAAATTTACTCTATGTTGAGTCCCATTTCGTTCTCTGTCTTTATTCTCGTCCCTTCAACTCTTTTGTGCAATGTTTTATACAACTTATTAATATTCAGTAAATAGTTGTAATCCTAGCAATTTCTACGCGTATGTTGTAATGCAAGTTCGTCGTGTAATATTCTACACATAACATTTATTGTATTTATCATTATATCAGTTTATTTTAATTCCTCTAGAAGTTATTGTCAGTTTTTATATCGTCGTTTATTCGTTGTTTAAACGCAGTGATCCCCATATTGTTTGCTCTTGGTCCCGTTTTAGCTTGTTGATAAACTGCTATCAAGTTTAGACACAGCTATCAACTGTCATTAGAAATATCGTATGTTGTAACTATTATTTATGTTACTATTGCAGGAAGTACGGACGTGGTAAACACCACAAATACCTTACAAGTTGTTGCTTGTTACTAATTTATTTTTATTATTCAATAAAAACATCTTTTTAGACAAACTGCGCATACCTTGATTGTTTAATTTAGACGATTCAATAGATATAACAGTCTATGTGATGATAATTTGTTATTCCTAAAACTACATTTTATCCATCTTACAATTTAGTATGATTCGTCTCTTTCATCTCACCATTTTGCTGATGTGATTGCTACAAGCACGTTCTAACCAACTTATTGCAGTTCATGTCACAAAATATCATTTAGAATACGATTTAACTTATACGTTTTCAACGATTCAAACGAGTGACAAGTTATCAACTCAAAGGAAATGAAATCATCAGAAGATTTTATTACACGTTAAGTTCCGTGTTGACAGTGATTTATCTATCAGCAAAGTTGACGACATTATGTGAAACGAACTGCTTGCTCAAACAAACTAAAATCGACTGGTCCTATTTTCTCAGCAGCTCCAACCACATTTACCAGTTTACATGTACGTGTCAAAGCACATACATTGGAAGAACCGAGAGAAGAATATATGTTCACATTTGTAAGGATGTTTCAAAGAAATTGAGACTGCGAGGGACCAGGGCTCTTAACAATGCAAAAGCTCGGTATTTACTTGACAACGGACATACCATTGACATTCCCTCATGCTCTTTCAATTATTAGCAGACAAAGAAACACAGCTTCTCTACGGTTTGCTGAGGCAGTTGAGATAAAGGAAAGTTCAAACGTGATTTTAGTATCCAATAAGAGACAGTAATCAACCGATTACTACACCGATGAATCATTTTTGTCATTACTTTGTTAGTGTTCATTTTGCTATGTGGTCTTCCTTTACCGAATCCTCATTTTATTTACATTAAAACCACCCATTTACTTAAACATTTCCATTCACTTAATTCTCTTAACTTATGTAAACTCTTCAAATCCTGTTCAATTATTACGCAACCCACCTTATCAGTTTAAGTGTCTTCAGTGGGTTCATAAGATTGTGGATAATTAATTAATAAAATAATCCTCAATCATGAAGCGTGTAGCTACAATCGTATATTTACTGCTTCGCTCAAAACACCACATAAATTATCATAAACTTTTCTACCTAGAAATCCAAAATGTTACAAACTTCACCTTTTTTATATATTTACCCATGCTCAATAATTCTGACAGTGGATTCATATTCTTTCTCAATAAACGTAACATGTAAATATTTTGTTGAACCCATTGATAACATTCCATTAGAATCTTAAACGTCCGGAATAATCCACATCAGAAACTATTGTGTAAGGATGGTACTACTGATCACAATTGATTGATCACTGGGTGGTGATCAATGTCATGCGTGTCTAGTCCTTATTATTAGTGCAGATCGAATGCTATCGATCATGTTGCAATGTGGTCACTAGTCTAGGTGACTCGACACTGCGGGCACTATATATTGAGATGTAGATGGTGGTTGGAGGTAGTCAACAAGAAACCCTGGACCCGGGCTTCGTGCTACTTGGCACTCTTCAGCAAGGTGTACCTGTAATCTTGAGGGAACAGGTGCTCTCTGACGGATTCGATCTCGTGTCACGCAGCTTCACAGTCAGAGACGTTACCACTGAGCTATCTGAGCCGCGACTGACCTCCTGTAGGACTGAGATGTAATCACAATGGTACACCTGACAATGCTTTTTGTTAGTCATTAAGAAGTGACCGAAAGCAATTCAGTAGACTGAAACACCAAAGATAGGTCGGGTACAAGCAGTTAACAGTAAACCGAAGAAATACGTTTCATGTCAGCTAACACTCAATAATAAGGTGTATCTCCGGTCCTGATGGAGTTGATGCTCCATAGTGGATTCAGACCCAGGCAACCCAGTTTCACAGTCTGAAGCGTTACAACCGTGCTGTTCTCACCACTAGCATGAGATCAATTAGTTTAAACCAACTGTTATTGAAAATACTTGTGTTTTAATTTCTTGAACTATCATATTTTCGTCAATATTTATTGTACCACAGAAAGAAGCAACCAAGAATGAAACTTCTGATGGTTAATGACCAGAACAACTGTCAACTGTTTAAAAACACTTTACATTTTTCTCACTCACTTGATGTTCGTAATGTGATGTCAAAACCCTTAAAGTAACGAAATGGACTTTATTCCAAAGTTGTCATTCGTTTTTTCCTCTAAGAAATAAATTGAACATCAACTTCAAACACCTTTCTTAATAAATATTGATAGGCACACAAACTAGTTTGACATCTCTCTTCAAGATCAAGTGATGGGAATGCATTTCAATGTGATATTTCTTTAATGAACTCAATGAAGTCTCTGTACAATACACCTAACATAAATAACTAATTAACTCAATATCGAACCATTTTTATGTAGTTCACTTCACCAAAATCCGAAATCAAACATCAAATTTCGGCTACTTTATGTTGATTTAAATAAAAAATATCAGCGACAAAGATAATTTATGGATGAGTCAATAGGATTTAAGGTAGTAAGTCTTGAATTTTTACACAAAATTCAATCGTCTATATGGTTGAACATCATTTTATCATTATGGGTGATGTCACTTCGTGGAGAAAACCACTACTCTAATTAATAACCTCATTTTCCAACTCTGAATCCTAATCCTATTTCCTCATACTAATCCATAACCTTGTTTTAACTCTAATAAATGATTGAATATTTTTAAGGTCATTACGACATCATTGAAACGTCATCGATAAATTATAGTCTCATCGAATAATTTTCAATATATCTGTCACACTACTTCTCTCGGAATTTGTTTTACATTTGATTCAATTGCTTTGAACAAATGGATTTATTTAATAAGTGGCCATTTAACAATCTCCATGTCACTTGCCTTGTTAAAGTTTTGACAATTGTTCTCTTACTTCACATTTTCATTCAATAATGTCTACTTAGTTTAACCATTAATTTCTATAGATGTAACATAGATTACGGTTACATTGAAATAATCAGCATATTGATCAACTGAATATTAACATTTCATTAAGCTGATTTGTCTATATACTTATTGGATCTCATTTTCGAACATCATGTCTGAGTTACCGCCAAAATATACATAGTACGAAGAAACAGAGGAGTAAAACGAATGAATAACTATGATATCATGTTCAAGGTGATAGACCTATTTTGTCATGCAGATCAATCATAAACCCTATTTAAACATAAGTGAACGCAATAATATGTATATATTTTGTTACACCCCGATAGGTAGGAAATTTGATTTCTTATATTTCATAACTTAATATAAGCCACTTTTTCAGAGTGGGTTGGAGAATGCTGGTCGACGGCCTATGCACCATTAGGAGTAACAGGCGTAAGTAAGTAAGTAAGTAAGTAAGTAAGTAAGTAAGTAAGTAAGTAAGTAAGTAAGTAAGTGAGTGAGTAAGTAAGTAAGTAAGTAAGTAAGTAAGTAAGTAAGTAAGTAAGTAAGTAAGTAAGTAAGTAAGTAAGTAAGTAAGTAAGTAAGTAAGTAAGTAAGTAAGTAAGTAAGTAAGTAAGTAAGTAAGTAAGTAAGTAAGTAAGTAAGTAAGTAAGTAAGTAAGTAAGTAAGTAAGTTTTTGAGAGTAAATACATGGAGTGGAGTTCGTAATCAGTTGGTGGGTATAGGTAGAGTGGGTGATTAGCCCGATCTCCACCACCCGGGTTACTGCTCACGTTGGTTCATGAGACATTCGTTTCAATATCCAGGAGGCACGACGCGGACTTGTGAGTCGGATTTTGCCTTTTTGAGAGTAAATACATAAGCGAAATAAAATAAACATAAGTTTAAATAGCGCAAAAGAAACAAAGTGGAATATTTTGCGTACAATCAAAATCATAATAGATCTGAATATGTAAATGTCAAGTTATGTTTGATCAAGTTGAATTAGTATGATATTTCATTGTATTAATTTGTGTGTCAGAAGGTGGTAATGAAAAATTTAAACATATTTGGCAATACCATATATGCTCTATCTTAATATCTAAGAAGCATACTGAAGCCACTTCAACATAGCTTCATTAATGTAGTACAGGATTCATAAGAATTAGAATCAAATATCTCGTTATTATCCATCAACAATAACGAAACA